AAAAAAAAAAAAAAAGACTTTGTCTTAAGGAAATATAAAGTGAAGCCAGAAGATGTCACGTTGTCAAATCAAGTTAATAGTTTAAGTAACATGTTAAATGTACACATACATAAATCACATCAAATACCTGCCAACCAATCCAAATAATAAGAATGCTAGAAAAAAAACTCCTTATGTGAAATGAAATAAATGGTATTAAACAATCTCCATAACAACCAGATTGTCAAAACATTGAGACCACAATGTAAAGAAATAACAATAGTAAAAAATTAGAATGTAAATAACTCAGCATTAATTGTAAAGGTTTTTCATATATTTCTAATCATACTACTAAATCAGTGAACATAGGTAAAATGTTATTGAGTTTAGGAAAGAAAACATAAATTCCAAAATACCATCTTCATTTATATTAACCTGTTGATGAATTAGCATAGTAGTTCCTACTATATGAAGACTTACTAAAAAATGCAAAAATCATAGATACAAATCAGGTGATAGGTGGAGGGATTGTAATTTTTCCATAAGTGTCTGCAAGACCTGTTTATCCCTACTGGGGTTGCGAGGGTTGCTGGTGCCCATCTCCAGCTGTCTATGGGTGAGAGTCGGGGTACACCCTGGACAGGTCGCCATTCTATTGCAGGGCAACACAGAGACAAACAAAAAAAAACAATCATTCATGCACACTCTCACACCTAAGGAGAATTTAGAGAAGCCAACCTAACTTTTTTTGTGGTAGTGCGCTACTCAGCAGCCCGTAATTTATCCAGTTATTATAAATAAGTACCTTGCATATAAAGAATACCACATTTAGTGACCCCAATAATATTCACTTACCAAAATGTCATGTGAGCACTTAATAATGGAGCTAAAGCTTTAGTGTGTTTATTGGGACTGGGCATTGGTTTGCTTGTTTATGTTTTATTTGAAAGGATATTCCAAAATGTTTCCAAGCAATACCGACAAGATCTTCTAGTAACCAAGCAGAACAGCTTGCATTAAGCTCAGAGGTGAACATAAATCCATGTTACAAATAGGTACAAACAGTTCCATAAGCAGGAAAAAGCAGTACTCCAGTTGTTCTTTGCTGGCTACACCTAGCTGATACTTGGATCAATCAGTTTGCAATCGCTTCAAATAACTTACAAAGAACATTCATATTTTCTTCCCAGTCTTTTAGATTTATTGGTTACAAAGAACATAATTAAAGACCATGCTGTTTTGCCATCCAGGGACGATTTCATATGGTTTGTTAACATACAGGTTATAAATCCATCCATCAGTACAACTAAATGTACAGTTGTAAAGAAATCAAAACAAAAGTCCACCAATGAACAATAATTAATCTGCACCTAAACATTTTTTTAAATCCTATATCACTATCAAAGTTAAAAACAAATGCCTAATTGTCCTATGGTAAGTGCTGACCACACTATCATCATTATTAAAGAATTTCATATGAAATGAAATTTGTCCTTAATTTGCAAATATCACATTACTGTAGCTAACAGTTGAACGTTTCCCTGTATACCATAGTAATAAGACAAATATTGGGAAGAGGAGATTACATAAAGGTTGTCTCTTTAGAAACCACTTTGCATCTTTTTTGCAGGAGTTAATACGCAATTGCTTTAATCTTGTAGTTATAAGCTATACTCACCATGCTCATTAAAAATTGTAAATCAGTAATTTGAAGAAAGATACACAACTGAAATATAATTGGTAAAATAATTCTTCTGCTTTAAATAACTTTTTTACTAATCTGTTGTGTACCTCTGAAACTGAGCTGAATAATGTTACCTTTTCTAACATAGATACTTGTTATTGATCAGTGCTTCCTTGTTCATTTTTTGTCTGTTTTTGTCTTTATTTCCAGTTGACCTCAGCAGAAGGCCCCTAACACTGAGTCTGGTTCTACTGTATTTTCCTTTTATTAATATAGCAATGCATTCATGCTCAGTGTGACGGATTGCTGCAGATACAACAGGACAATGCAAGAGTATCTACTGTTGCTGCATGCTCATCCAGGAGGATATAAAAATTTGAGCCAGTCTGTCTCTATCATTTGATTGAATTATCTCTGCAAGTTTTGTAAATTGGTTGCATATAGTAAATAAACTGAAATGAATTGAATATGGGTTAAATAAATTACCTATAATCATAGAATGGAATTAATGAGACGGTGACTTTGAAAAGTATGAAGTCCTCTCTGTAACTTTTGAAAAGACTCTGAAATGATTTAATGTTTAAACTTAAGGTCATTATTGAGGTTAATAAATGGTTATTGTAAACATTCTGCATAGAGAAATTATTTGTTTAGATGTGCAAGAATTAGAGAGTATACTAAGGCTGAAAAAATAAAGAGCAGACAGCAAGCCTCTTTGTAAAGAGGCTTGCTGGGGAATTGACAGTTTACTTGGGGCCCATAGATAGAACCTGCACTTCTGGGAGGAGAAGTAGCAGAACTGAATGTTGCAAAGTCGGATATGACAACTGCATGTTCTCCCCATGCATGTTTAACTTATCCTGCTTTCTTCTAGAGTCCAAAAACATCATTATTAGATCATTTGGGTTCTTTAAATTGCCTTGTGTTTGTATGTGCGTGCTTGGGACTTAGAAGATGATTTCTTTGTGCTTTTTAAAAAAATAAAAAAGTATAGCTGCAACAGTTCTATTTGCTTTATTACCGAATTTGTACCATTCTTAAAGTGTGGTTAAGGGCCACACCATACAGTACTATTTTAATGGCTCCTGGGCTCTATGGACACCCCTGTTTTTTTGAGTTGTGTTTCCCTCTGGACAAGTGCCAAACTAAAGAAAAAAAAATAAAAACATTAAATAGTGGTAAGAAAATGTGATAAGCATGTAAGATGTATTAAATAATTGTCATTTAATTGTGTTTTTTCATGCTCTTGGTATTCCCATGGACCCATGTTAATAGGTGCAACTGTTGAATGAAAGGCATAAATATTTCTTTTTGTTAGTTACCTTACCATATCTAATAAAATTGAAAACATTTTAAAATCCCGACAAATGATACATAACAAGTAGAATCTGAAAACCTTACCCATATTATAAAGCTTCTTCCACTGGGTTTTGCTTCAGCTCTTCATAGATTTTCTTCACCATCTCAAGCTCACTTGAGACATCTAAGGATTATTTTTTTACCAGATGTTTAGTGTTTCATATATTCCCACTGATTGATGTAATCAGATAAAAAGTTTATTATTTACCGGGTAATAAGTAGTCGTCTGTCTTAAATGAAAGCTCTAATGATTCTTTCATGGTATTCTCCACTGTTTCCAGGATTTCATTCTGAAATAAACATAAAAGGTTTTATTAAAATACAAATTGAAGAATAGAGATAAAAAAGATTCTTACAATTCAAAGGTAGATTATACTCAGACAGGGAATGAAAACTGGTCAATCTTTGAATATTAAAAATAGAAACAAACCGCTAAGCTCTTGAGTTCTGACAACATGACATTTTTAGCCTTCTCAAACATGGTGTCCTTTGATTTTTTCACATGATTTTCAATTTTTTCCCTCATTTTCTTCAGTGCACCGACGTTTTCAAATTTGGCCGCCTCTGTAGAAGAGTGCAAGTGAACTGTTTAATTATTTAATTAAAACATTAATGGAAAGTTGTATATCATATTAGTTTCTGTACCCGTGTAGCACTCTTGCATGGTTTCCTGAATTGTTTTTACTAAACTGTTGTAGACTGTCTTTTTGCCGTTTCGAATCATTTTCTTCAATTCTGACTGAACTCTTTCTTCCTAAATCACACACCCCAACAAAAGCAAAGCAAACATAATTTCAGATTATATAACATACGGTAATTATTATACACATGTTCATATACTGGTTTATTTTTTCTACCTCATTGCAACCTCTTAAATCAATACCTTATCAACACATTTGAAATAATTTTTAGACGTACTTATTTTGGTAAATTTTGCATAAAATTGATAATCAATCGTATTTGTTCAGTTACCTCTGTCATCAGAAAAATCAGCTGCAGTTCTACATCTTTGTACTTCTGTTTAAGCTTTTCAGCGTCTAAGGAAAACTTGTTTATCACTCCATTGAATGGACCACTTTTCCCTTTATTTCTGAAACATTCAAATGATTTTCATAAAGGTATTTGTTAAATATAAGAGACATATGTATACATATATATATATATATATATATATATATATATATATATATATATATATATATATATATATATATACACACACACATACAGTGTTCTGCGTTAAAAAAAAGTCCTTACGGAAACGTCTTTCTGAATTCGTCGTCAATGCTGTTAGTCAAGAAAGACGTTAGCCACCTGTTTAAGTTTATTTCCTTTCGCTTTTTGGGTTTGTAGATGCCACCATTTTTGACAACACATTTCAGTATCCTGTGGAATCCCTTGTCATGCCTCTTTTAGAAAAATTTACGGAAATAATGTAAACAAAAAACAGTATTTCAAGCACATTTTTAAAGGGAATTTTTTTTAATGTTTATGGTAATATAGTACATACTTGAGGGTACAGGAAGAGCTTCAAAGATTTTTCATATGAAGTTTTAGATGTTTCAACTCCTTTACTCAAGCAGTTTTCAAAAACTGAGTAGGTTTTGGCCATCTTTTTTTTTATTATTTCAAGTTGAGAGTTTTTGTTTTTCTCAAGGTCTTCATAGACGTCTTCATGTTTGCCATCCTAAAACAAAGAAAACTATTGTTATTACAGTCCATAATATGAACTGTTCCTTTATTATTTTTTTGTATTGTATTACCTTTTCACATTAGGTTCTCCTTTGGCTGGCCTTTAAAATATCTTTCAGGACTGCTTGCTCCAATAATTTGCCTGGTTATTATTTGTTTTTCTTTTTTGGTGGCCTATATCTAGAGGAACTTATGTAGATAGCTCTGTTCTTCAGGAAATACATGGAAGAATTATTTTCCGTTTCCTCTTACACTTCATGGAGCTCACTGCTAGAACTAGTTCAAAGTTCAGAGTGATTGGGTAAAACCACTGGTTTCATTTTTTGGTGTTAAATTGTGACAAATGTTTCTGTACTTTTTAAGGGAAGTGACTTGTCATCTACTGCTAAATTTAACCTTGGAATTTTTCTACTGAATCATTTTATTACAGACTGACAGAAGGCCAAAGACAACAGAGATTGACACAACTGATAATACAAATTGAAAGTTCAATTTCAATGATGCCCAACCCTACATATAATTGTCATCATAAAATATTAATACAATAACAAAAAATTTGTTTTATGCACAAACTATTGTATATTTACATGCCTGACTAAACAGTGGCCATTACCAAAGCAAACCTGTACATATTGAATGACTATTGTATGAGCGTGGTAAACTGTCTGAATGAGAGTGGAATGTGCTTTTATGATGTGAATAAAGTTATGCTTACATGTATTATTCTGTATATACTTTATGAACTTTTTGTAAGTATAACATCAACATTTCCAAGGACTGTGGGTGGAAATTGCTTTTTTTGCTATAACCTGACACATGATATCTCTTCTCTCTTGGACTAATGTTTTTTTTTTTGTCCCTGATCAAATGAATAAATTAAACATGATGATGATTTTTCTTCTGCAGCCCTACCATTCTCCTTGAATTGGTCCCTTGGATTAAAGAAAGGATCCCATAAGCTCCTGAAACGTAGTTTAATGTCACTGAGTGACAGTCACTCAGGTCTTGCAAAAACTTCTGAAGCTTTGGTATTTCTGAAATTTCTGGAAATAAAAACTGTTTCACTTAATAGCTCCACATTAAGATGGCTGTAATCCTGTAGTTTTTAAACATAACAATGCTGACACAATACATTTTATTTTTACATAATTAAAATACACAGTAAAACTTGAAAATGTCTAGTTACAAAAATCTGTATTAATAAAAAAATGTCATACCATCATAAATATGTAAAACCTTTGTCAATGAATAAATTTTTGTCATACCTTCTGGGCAGCTTCCACTAATCATAAAACCAGAGTTTTTAAATACATTAAACATAGTTAATACATGCAATAGAAAACCTGCCTGGTTTCCCAATCACCACCTAGTTCCTTAATTAAAACATTTTTAGGGATTTTAACCTACCTGTACTCTCCTTAAGTTCTCCTCTCAGATACTCCTTAGAGCTCACTGTGAACACGTCGAAGCAGTCCTCAGTGAAGTGTTTCTATGGAAAATTGATTGATTACTACACTTTATTTTCTTGTAATAAACTATTTTGTTCTGTTTTCTGTTTTTGCAGCTGACCTTGACATCCAAAAGCTTGCTAAATGCAGTTCTAACTTCTTCCTTTGCCTTTGTGTTCCTCTTTTGTATGAGAGTCAAGTGTTCTTCTGCTGAGCTAAATGACAAAAGATAATGGTACATGTACTTTTTGGAACTCCCCAAAATGCCCAAGTTTGATAACACAGAACTTTCTGATTAAGAAAAAGGGCTTGATATACATTTACTAGGCTCATGACAATCCAAGTTTAGGTAAGTTGCAAATTTGTTACAGCAATTCCAACAGATGAATAATAGCTTACACCATTAGGGAGCAGTCAAACAGCTATCGATTACTGGGCAAAGGTTCATAGGTGCCCACTGGCATTGGAGTAATGCACATGTAAACTTAACCTTTTGTGTAAAACAAACAGTTTGTTGAATTTACAATATTTAACACCTTTACAATTGTGTAACTATGTTAAATGCTACAAACCTGTATCAATACATTTATTCATTTTTTAGAGAATACAATATGCCACTTTATCATGGTAATTTATAGCTTTTTTTTTTTACTTACTGATCTCGAAAATCTTCAAAAAGGTCAGACTTGGTGCAGATGAAGTGAATGTATTGGCACTCGCCGCCATTTCCAAGGAGACCAACAGCACTTTTTAGAATCTCCCAGGATTCTTTTTCTGCTGCTGCCTGATTGAGTTCAGCCACAATCCACACGGTGGAACATTTTCCAACAATCTGAAATAAAGCATATTATATAGCCAGTAGTTCTCAGTGGAAAAGGAAACTGCTGAAATGTTACTGGTTCTACTTAACACAAATGGCTAAGAGAAATTACCCTCTTCCACATATTATCTCTGCTCTTGTTGCGGTCTCCATTTCCAGGAAGGTCCACCAGAGTAACATGTTGGAGAAGAGGAATATCTGGCACTTTGATGGTCACACACTTTACCAATGGCCAATACAACATATTTATTTTTTTGCCTCCCTCTTGGTTTGAAACATTTCTTGTGTATTTGGCTATTCCTTCGGATAGCATTTCAGCCTGCACAAAAATATTAGTATACTTTAATTGCACTTATAAAATCAAATAAAATACTGTTGTAAACACCTGGACTATGCCAAAGAAACTTATTCATAAGGTTCTCTAAAACAACCACAACTGAAACAATGTTTTGCATTTAGATGCAAAATATATGTTTAACATTGAAAGTTATGTTTTAGCAGTTGCATTCTCTCCTAATAAGGCATCTAAAAAAAATGGGAATTGGATTCTAGTTATCAGTACACTTAATGTTAATGTCAATTCTCTGGATTTGTAATATGAGTAACACAGCCTTCAGTTCTATGGAGGACCAACTCTGCCATATTTAAAAATAAATACAGAAATAAATAAATGCTCAATAAATGAATAAGCATACAATTAATTGCCTCCAAAAATACAATAAACAAATAAATGTAGGTAGAAATTAAATTATACTGTGAAACATAAATTTATATATTTCTTTTACTTAGTTTCTTTATTTATTTGCCTTTGTAATAATTACCTTATTTTTTAATTGTCCGTTATATTCTTCAACTTTATTAATTTATTAATTTTTTTTGTATTTATTTATGTGCATTACATAACATCTCTGTCTGGTTTATTCTTCCTTTTAATTTGTTTACCCTATTTATTTCTTCCATGCTATTTATTTCTGCCTGTTGTATTTACATTTCTGTATGCATTTCTGCCTCATTATGCAAATTAGGAGGGGTGTGTCTTAAGGGCTCAAGATCTGCCTATTGGTTGGTTAGCAGCCACCAGCCACAGTCTCAACAAACATGGCTACCTACGATTAAGTTGTCTGAGTTAGCTGAGACATTAACAACTGTTTTTGAAAACAATGCTAATGTTATAAGTATTGAATTTATTATTTTTAGTTTGGACGGCCTAACAGACAGTGTGTTTCAGTTAGCGGCACACATAGACACAGATGTCGACAATGTAGTTTTTCAGAATCTGGAGGAAGCGGTCCATCTTCTTAACTTGGTCACTAATGACCGTGGTGAAGTTGGTTTGAAGTTGTCTAGCTCATGTGGAGAGAATGAAATAAACTAAACCAAACTAGATACTCGAGAGGCATTCAGTTCCGAGTTTCATCACCTACCTCAAGAGCTTCGTGCTAACGAGGGTCGTTTCCAGAGCTAGTTTTGACTCATCCAAGTCCAATTTCACAACCTGTGACCCACCATCAAAAAGTGCTGCAGGACCTATTTATGCTCTTAGATGCTTTTCCACCAGAGTCTTTGCATGTAAACCGTCTGCTTCCGCTGCTCAAAAAGCGTTTGTGGATGTCATAAAAGTAAGCATAAACTCACCCTTTATTTTAACTCTTAACTAGTCAACTTGGAAAAGTAACAACTCGTTAATGCCCTTGTTCATACCACTAGGTAATAATTTTTGCATTTGTTACATATTTTGTTTTTGTATTTTTGTCTTGTATTTTGCCAGTATAGCTTTGGGAACTGATGTCCCAAAGCTAGATGATAGCCCAACAGATTTACTTTCACAAGCGGACTATTATGGTTGTAGCAATAAGGTTCCACTTAGTAATTATATATTTACCTTCATAGAAAAAGTTCTAGCCAGTAAAATCACATACAATGGATGGAGTCGTAAAGGGAAGTGAGAAAGATAGAGGGAATAAAAACTAAGGGGAGAGAGAAAGAGACAGGAAAGAGGGAAGACCGCATGCAAGGAGAAAAATAAAGCAAAACAGCAAAAATACCCAACACAGAAGTTATATAGTAACCCAGAAGTCTGCTTCTACACCTGCATGAGACAAGAGGGAGCTTAAATAGAGAACATAACAACAGTAAACACCAAAAAAGCTTACAGAGCAGAAGGTATCCCTTTGATAGCCATGAAAGGAAAGAAAATCTATGGTGATTAGATAATACTCAGGGTGCTATATATCTGTACCTCTAGCTTAGTATTTAGCATCAGTGTGTATCCATGACCACCTGGAACCAAACTCCCATGGTATGTATGCATGGACATACTCGTATATAAATGATTTAATATGCTTAGTAGCAGACGTGGGTGGTCCCAGACTTGCCTTACAGGGCCTAGGAACGATAAAAAGCCAACGTGAGCCCCAAATATCCAAAGGCCCCCAAGATAAGTGGGATTCAAGAAAGGCAGATAAATAGACAGCCACATCCACCAGAAAAGGGCAAACAAGAACATCCAGGCCCAGTCACTGAGAGACTCAACCACAGAGGTTAAAGAGGAAGTAAAGATAATATATGCAAGAATATAAGTACTTCTTACTTACAGAGTCATACTTCAAAAACTTTGTCCTGGATTCAAGAAATTCAGGAATTTTTTCGAAGGTTTTCCATTCCATTAATTTCTCCTTGGGTATTTGTCTCCAGTCTTTACCATAGACAGCTGATAGTTTTTTCTTATATTCATCATTTTCATCATCATCATCATCATCATCATCACTATCATCCTCACCGACATCTTCATCATTGTTGTTTTCTGGAACATCATCAACACCAAGATATTGCAACATTGACCACACCTCATCTTGCCATTCCTTCCAAATGAGAAAAAAAAATATTGGTTTAGTAAGTCTGGTTTCTGGAGTATAAAGCATTCTTGAAGAAGGATAAATAATTTTCATAGCTATGTTTACCTCTTTTGTGATGAACTCAATTTCTGCTTCATACTTGTTGAGCATGTTAGCTTCCACTTTAATCATGACTGAGGTACAAGCATTGATATCTCCAGAAGGCAGAAGGTTTGCTTTACCAATGACAGCATTAATCAACGAACTCTTTCCGGCTCCAGTTTTACCAAAGACACCAACCATCTCTCTTTTGTCTGTGCTCAAATCAGTGATTTTAGTCCTATTAAGAACAACAAAACATTTAAATTACTTGTGAATTGTGAAACTACAAAACTGTATAAATGTGTCGTCATTGTCACAATGGAGCCTAGTCCCTCCCACTCCTCACTTCTCTATGAGCTACAGCTCAGAAACAAACCTGGGTTAATTCTCGTAGATCCCTCAATCTACAGAGCATTATCCTGATTAGAGCCCCGATAAAATCTATTTGATTGGGCAAACAGAACTTAGTGATCGCTGCTAACTACCTCCTTCCTAGGGCCACGTCTTTTGGTAAGAAGCATGTCAAAATAATGTTTGTTACCCATATATTGGCCTTGTTAACTTTACCTTCTGTTGTCATACAAGAGTAGATAATATTTAGATAAGATCAACTACAACAGCTGTGGAAGGGTTTCCATAAATGCATCTATTAAAGGCAGAATGACGAAGGATGCTGGTCGTTTAAAAAAATATGTTTTGGTACTACTGCATTTTTCTTTCTTGGATTTGAACTCTCATTTGTGATTTTCTATTTAAGAGTAATACTTTCTGCACAACTAGATTATTTTATATTTAAAACTGAGGAGGAAATACTGGGTGAGATTCATAATGTACAAAGAATGTATTTTTAATACGGTTGGCTTGAGGAGTGCAAACTCCCTAGAAAAAACACATAAATGAACAGCAGTTATAAAGGGGTGCCAAAACAATTTCCAGTAGCCTGAGCAGAGAGAACATATTTCTGTGTGTTCAGCCCGTATGGTCAAATTAACTATATCAGATTTCCCAAACTTTTTGATG